CTCCCCCCCGCAAGCCCCGGGCTCCCCCCCGCAAGCCCCGGGCTCCCCCCCAGCTCCCCTCCGCAGCCCTACGCTCCCCCCCGCACCGCTCCGCACGGCGGCCGCCGGCGGCTCAGGTGTCTCCGCGGAGAGCCCGGGGAGGGAACCGGGAAAGTTTTCGGCCCATTCCCACCGTTTAGGCTTATTTTTAGCCAGTCCGGGAGGGTTGAACCAGCTTTAACCCCCCCGGTATTACATTAGATGTTTTCATTTGTTCGGCTCCAAACAAACCCGAGGGCTGCGGAGCGGTCGGAAGAGGGGGAAAACAAACAAACAAACAAAAAAAAGTCTGGCCGTGTGGTGGCTTTTTTTGTTTAGTAATTCCTCTTTTTGAAACTCGGCGTAGTACCTGAGTAATTCCACATTGTGCACCTGCTGCAGGTTTGGCTCCTGGGCTTTGCGTGCTCTGCTGGAAGGCTGGTCTCAGGAGAGCCATTTGTTTCAGGCTGGAGGAGATGCTTAACTTGCACTTTTCAACTGAAAGTCGAGAATGTATAGGTCAGGAAAAGTAGCAAAGCTGGGCTACTGAGATGCAAGAAAAATAAGCTCACTGCGATGCAAAGCTCAAAAAATTCCCAGTGCGTTTCTGCGGGGTACTTCTGTAAATGTGAAATAACTGCCAAGGCTACAAAAGCATTAAAGGAGAGAATGACAAATATTTAATGAAATTCTGTTGTGAATGGTATGTTTTAAGATTTATAGCAGACAACTGTCTTGGGGGCAGGGGAGTTAGCTTGAGTGCTTGTTTCTTTACAATTGGAGTTGTGAGAATGGATGCGTGTGCGTAGCTGGGGTTTCACCCTGTGGATTAACGCAGAAAGTTTAAAAATGCATTTAAAAAAGATAAATCCCTTACTAGGAGGTGCATTCATTATGAAAATAGCAGTGTTTGCTTTTCTGACCATTCATTTCCAAACAAAAAAGTAGAGGTACTGAATTGAATTCACGCTGTAGATCTGGACTACAAGAATGAAATTAGTGGGCTTCTA